TCATAAAGCGTCTAGATTGATTTTAATGGCCGATTCCATCTCTGAAAATATGCAGCGTTATTATACAGATATACGGACAAATACTGTAGGTGTGTGTGTTTTATATGAAATTATGAATGGAGCAAATGGTGAATGCATTTTGCCGAAAACACTCTTGACTTTGAGCCAAATGAAATGAAGAACAGTTAGAGGAGCAGGCTCTTTTTCTGGGGTTTCTCTCCACTCCTGCAACATCATTCATCTTAGTTTTTCTAACTTGCCATAAAGCAGGGGTACATCTACCTTTTTAAGTAAAATCAAAGACATTTACTGATATTCCTTTAGTTCCTAGCTTTTGTTTGGTTCTATCTCTCTTGTAGTAGTAAGTAAGTAAATAAGAAAGCTTTTCCAGAACGCTTTTTCCGACAATAAGTAAAAAAAGAACAGCTCTCAGCCCAAAACGTCAGCTTGTCAATCCGATGGTTCTTGTTCACAAATTTGAAAAAGTAAAATAATTCTGCCATTGAACTATAATAAGATAAGGAGAAAAAGATGGTGGACACCTGTTTTGGTCATGCACAAAACGTATCTCTGGTCCAGTCCCGACTGTAAACCAGGGAGACTGCTTGTACAGTCGCGTTGTGGCGCTGAATATGTGGCTCCAGTCTACATGCAGCACTTTTAACTTTGTTTTTGTGAACAACTTTGGCCTGTTCTGGAAGCGTCACGTGGCCTATCGTCCAGACGGTCTGCACCCGAACAGATACGGCACCAGTTTATTGATGGACTTTTTACGCCATGTTGTTCAGTGCTCCCCGAGGGGGGCGTGACTGTTTACATCCGAGGCCCCTCGGCCCCCACTACCACCTTCCTCCTCCACTCCAGCACCGGGTGAGTACTGTGGTGCAAACACTGACCCCTGTCCGTCTGGCAGTGTAATACCAGTCCTGCCACTGAACGGTGCTTACTCAGTCATGCATCTGGAACTTAACAAAGTAAAACAGAGTTCACTTTTTAAACCAATAGAGACTGTGTGTGTTCCTCGCACCGGCTCAGAAATGTGTTTTAATTTGCACAAATATAACAGAAGGACAGCAGTTAGACGGTCCAACTCAGGAAATCTAATTCCAATTCTTTGTAGTCAATCAACTAAACCCACTGACACTGATATTATTTTTAACCTTGCTCTGCTTAATGTCAGATCACTATGCAATAAATCCTTTTTAATTAATAATTTTATCTGTTCTTATGATCTTGACTTTATGTTTATGACTGAAACTTGGCTTGACCATAATACAGAAAATGCAGTCTTAATAGAAACAACACCACCAAATTTCAAATTTGAATCAGAAATTCGAGAAAATAAAAGAGGAGGAGGCACAGCAGCAGTTTTTAAAGATTGTATTGTCTCCCATAGAGTACCTCTTGGGAAATTTTCCTCATTTGAGTATGTCTCTTTTAAAATAGAACAAAAACAATCTTCTATTCTTATTATTGTTGTGTACAAGCCGCCACAGTCATGTCATAGTTTCACTGATCATTTCACCGAGTTGCTTTCAGTTGTGTGCACAGACTTTGATAGTTTAGTCGTCATAGGTGATTTTAATATACATGTAGATAACGATGATGATAGATACGCGAAAGAGCTGAGCTCTGTGCTGGAGACCTTTGGTCTCACTCAGCATGTGAGTGGCCCCACCCATAGCAGAGGACACACTCTCGATCTGCTAATTACTAAAGGGGTTAATATCTCAAATGTAAATGTGGCCAATGTTGCTCTGTCAGATCATTTCTGTGTATTTTTTGATATGTGTCTCAATAGTAAAGCACGAGCTGAATCCTCAATTGTTAGAAGAAGAAGACACATAAACAAAAATACAGGTGAACTTTTCATGGGGATGATAAACTTTGATAACACGTTGTGTTCTACTGTGGATGAATTACTTAACTCTGTCACCTCTAGTGTTTTGGATGTTCTGGACACGATTGCTCCTGTAAAGGTCAAAATTGTTACAAATAAGCAAAAGGCGCCATGGACAAAAGCGGACTCTGTCAGGGCACAGAAGAGAGAGTGCCGGAGAGCCGAGCGGAAGTGGCGAAAGTCAAATCTCCAAGTTGACCATGAGATCTTCAAAGATGCATTGTGCAAGTTCAACAGTGTGCTACGTAGAACGAGGGAAACTTATTTTTCCGAAACAATTGAAGGTTGCAGTAACAATCTACGCGTTCTGTTCTCAACAGTAAATAAATTGACAAATCCCCCTGTTAAGATGCCATCAGAGCTTACCTCCAAAACCAAATGTAATGAGTTTGCAGAGTTTTTTAATGACAAAGTCCAAGGCATCAAAAATGCCATCACCTCCACAGTAGAAATTACAATCCAACAGCCAGTGAAGCTTTTTGGGCTGACACACTTTACACCAGTACAAAATGAAACTGTCCAAATGATAATTACAAGTCTGAGTTCTTCTACATGTAGCCTGGATGTATTACCTCCTAGATTTCTTAAATCTGTTCTGAGCAGTCTTTTACCTTCACTCACGCATATAGTAAATATGTCTCTTGAATCTGGAACATTCCCAATGGCCCTGAAAACGGCAGTCATCAGACCCCTCCTAAAAAAGAGGAGTCTGGATGCCTTGGCACTTAAAAATTATCGGCCCATTTCAAATCTGCCTTTCATGGGTAAAATTCTAGAAAAAGTTGTCTATCAACAACTTACAGAATTTTTAATAATCAATCACTCTTTTGATATGTTCCAGTCTGGTTTTAGACCCCACCACAGCACAGAGACCGCTCTAGTGAAGGTAACAAATGACATCAGACTTAACACTGACGCAGGAAAAGTCTCAGTTCTTATCCTGTTAGATTTAAGTGCTGCTTTTCGACACTGTCGATCATGGTATCCTCATTCAGAGACTTGAGGACTGGGTTGGTGTTTCTGGAACAGCCCTAAGCTGGTTTATATCCTACCTACAGGACAGAAAGTATTTTGTGGAGATCGGAAACTGTATCTCAGACCATCTGGCCCTAACCTGCGGAGTGCCACAGGGATCAATCCTGGGGCCTCTCCTGTTTAATATTTACATGCTGCCTCTGGGTAGGTTAATACACAGTAATAACGTGTCCTATCACAATTATGCTGACGATACTCAGGTCTATGTGTCCCTGACAGCAGGAGAACATGGACCAGTGGACTCGCTCCTTCACTGTATCCAACAAATCAGTGATTGGATGCAAAATAACTTTCTCCAGCTAAACACAGAAAAAACTGAAATTATTGTTTTCGGACCTCAAAAACAAAGAGAGAGCGTTATCTGCCACCTCCAGTCTCTCTCCCTAAAACCCTCAACTCAGGTCAGAAATCTAGGAGTAATAATGGACTCAGACTTAAATTTCAATAGCCACATATCATCTGTGACATCATCAGCTTACTTCCACCTAAGAAACATTGCTAAAATTAAAAACATTGTGTCTAAAGCAGACTTGGAGATTCTTATCCACGCATTTGTCTCCAGTCGATTGGACTACTGCAATGGCTTGTTCACAGGTCTCTCTAAACAAGCGGTAAAACAGCTGCAGTACATCCAAAATGCTGCAGCTCGAGTCCTGACTAGAACCAGGAAGTACGACCACATTAGTCCGGTCCTCAGGTCTCTGCACTGGCTTCCTGTGGCTCAGAGAATAGATTTTAAAGTAGCTTTACTTGTGTACAAGTCTCTCCATGGCCTCGCACCAGGGTACATCCGCGACATGTTGGTGCCATATGAACCAACTCGGGCTCTGAGGAGCACAGGGACTGGACTTCTGTTAGTGCCAAGAGTCGGAACTAGACATGGGGAGGCTGCGTTTCAGATTCATGCAGCTAGAGTCTGGAACCGTCTTCCCGAGAGTGTGAGACAGGCGTCTACTCTAGCAGTTTTTAAAACTGAACTGAAAACAGTTCTTTTTAGCTGTGCATACAAGTGAATGATTTTATATTTGTTTTTATCTTTAATCTTTTTAATGCGCTATGATTATTTATGATTATTTATGATTGTAATCCCTTGTGTGATTTTAATGTTTTACGGTTTTTAACTACTTGTGTGATTTTATATATCTTGTGCTCTTAATCTGTCTTTTTATGTTTACTTAAATTCTAATGTTTGATGATTTATGCATGATGTTATATGGGTTGTGAGGCGCTTTGCGTTGCCTTGTGTAGGAAAGGCGCTCTATAAATAAACGTTGATTGATTGATTGAAAACAGAACAGCATCATTGCAGGCCAGGCAGTCTTACTGGAACATTGGTATTTGTTCATTTTGCCTTCTGCAGAGTGAATGAACACCTAATAGAAGCATTATTGCCACTTAGTCTAATTATTTATTGACATTTAGACTGGATCTTCAGCAGAAATGTTTATTCCAGTTTTTTTTTCAGATATAATGATAGACATAGCAAGCATTTTATATGACAATTTGCATCACGACAAAGACCCCATCCCACAGGTGTTAGCTATAGTTAGCTAAGTCGCCGTCACCTTAAAGGCCTGATCACTTTAATATCAGGTCTTGCATTTGTCCGTTTTGTGTAGGCCAGATTCCACAATAATCTTAATAAACGAATTAAACAGACTTGTGTGTGTGCCAGCAGCATTGGCCTGTACGCGACCATGCAGTGAAAGTCACACAAACATGTTCAACTACCACACTCTGCTGGGAAATGCAAATAAACATCACACACTCCCAGCGCAGACGGCACCATCTCCATCACGTGAATGGAAAGTCTCACTCGGCGGAAGTGGTATTAACAGCACAGGTCTTTTTCTATTTCACGCTCCAACCAAGTGTCAACCAATTTGCATTTCCCTTCTAACGCTTGTGTATGTAAGAGGGTGGTGACCAAGAACAACTGCTACAAGAAAGACTAATATGCCAGTAATGACGAACAGTGATGTATTCCCTCTGCTGGAAAGGTCTTGGCATGGCTCCCCCCCGACTGTCATCTGATGTATTGATTTGTGCTCTCTTTATTTTACAGAATCCAACCAGCCGGTCTGGTGGAGAGAATCCAGGCCATCGCCCAAAATGTGTCCAACATGGCCAACAGGGTGGAGCAAATCCTGCAGAACAGCATTGTACAAGGCAGAGGTATCAGGAGATTATTACGTATATGTTCTTTTAACCCAGCGAGGTCTAAGTGTCATTATCCTATTGTGCCATGTCCTATTGTGCCATGTCCTATTGTGCGCTAAAACACACACAACAGGTATGAATCTAATGAGTGAGTGAATGGAGGGTGTTTGGTCGGAGGCTTTGATGCACCAGTGTGTTCTTGCTTCAGTCATCACCGTTTGTGGAGAGAACTGAACAATTGTAAAGCACTTGGGGTGACCTTAGTCTGTAAACATGAACAAACTTACTTACTTACTTACTTGCAAGGCCTAAACAATAGATTTAGATTTTGTGTTTTTAACTTATGTAAATTTAAGCTCAACTCATTTAGCACCCATTAACACATCATGCATACGACGTTGGCATCAGTAGAGTTGAAAATAAAGCTTCCAGTTTGCCAAAGTTTGCAGCTGGCTCAGAATACAAAACATTGTCAGTATTGTGGATGGTGTTATTTACTGTTTACTGAATCTGACTGATGATTTTGCGAGAAACGTTTCAAACCTTTGCTTTGTCCTTGATAATTTGAAAATCAATGGATATAAAAAAAAATTGTTTCACTTGAAACTATGGGATTTTGTTTGTAAAAGAGGAAAGCAAGCAGTCACTTATGTCTTTTCATCGATTAAATCCATTGAATCTCCTAAATGTACAACTTCTGGGTTATTATAACTGATGAGAAAAAACGGATTTTGGTGAGAAAAGTTCCTTTACATCCTCCCAGCTGGACGTGTACGCAGCTGTCAGCTTGTGTTGAAGTGACTGCTGTTAAATAAAAGAATGCAACAGGGATCTGCTCATTCGCACAACAAGAAAATGGGTTTTTAAATGGTTGTTTTCACAAGAGACACAAATCCTTTCTGACAGCAGAAACATCAAACATTGAAATAAGAATTACCCAGTTCAGTTACTATTTCAAGTCCCTATGCTTTTAACATCAAAAAATAGGCCTCTTTCCAAATCTGTTTCACAAATCAAGTTTGTTTTGAGACTAATTTTTGTGAAAGCTGTTCTGCATCTAACTTATAATAATAAGTCCCTAAAACGTATACTTGGACCAATGTATAGAAAGCAAATATAGCGTTAAAAGATGTGTAGATTATTCTAAATAAGAACAGACTCAATACCCACACTGCACCCTACACTCCTCTACGAAGTGTGCATTTGTTTCAAGTGCACACGAGGTTTGAGTGCGCAGGTTACAAGTGTGCCAAAAAGGCGGAATTGGGACAGTGCACGTTACGTCATCGACTCGTCAAGAGATGGTCATTTTCAGACCTACACTTTATCAAATCAAATGTAATTTCGTCTGACCCTGAGGGAAACAAAAGTAGTAGTTAATGAGTTGCTCCACACACGTTAAAATATTGGTTATTCGTAATTTGAGATAGCTGTATAATTTGAAGTTAAATGTGGGTAACTAACTGTTATCTAGTAAGTTTTTATACATCCTAAGTTTATTGTACTAAGTGTAAAGTTTAAACTGAATGTTATATGAATGCTTGCTTTAAAAAGTTATTAAATTGTTAGCATAGAATGTCCGTAAATACATTTATGCTGCTTTCTAAGTAACACAGCAACATTTATTTACACACATACAGCATATTTATTTCAAAACTTACACTTAAATGCATTTTCCCGACGTTTTGGTGTGTACCGCAAAGAATTATGGGCAATATCCGCATAGATGCAGGCTACGGCAAAGTGTGGATCAGGGGCGCAAAGGGGGCGGGGCCAAAGACCTCCCTGGAGAATTGGGACACCTTACGCACTTGCACCCATCATCGGGAACGCGCAAATGAGGGGCGCGAGAGTGTGGAAGTGCGAGTATTGGGACAAGGCCACATACACCACACTTACGCCACCACAATCTACAATTATCAGGACGCTTCAACAACGACTTTTTCTGAATGAGAACAATGGTCCATATGTTACTGTTTTTCCACTGCATAGAACAACGGAAAGGCCGTAGCAGTTTTCTCTAATCACAGATGAATTGAAGCTGTAGTGTGCCAGAACGCATTATCATACAGCTCACTGTATTTATCTTTAGTCCGACACAAACGGCGGGAACAAGAGAAAAACACAGAAGAAATGACTTCCCCCAGGCGCGACCAGCATTCATCTTGTAGTGCGATAAAAAGAACCGATTGTTAGCTGACCTCTGCGTTTATTGCTGTAATATTTTGTATTGTATTCTTTAGATGTTATCAAGACTCTGGTCATTTGGTGTGCCATAAAAATTATACATTTATGCAACATTACTTTGTATACTACTTCAGAAAAAAAACCCTAGCTGCTGCTGTTACTACTACCACTACCACTACTACTACCAGTGCTACTACTACTACTACTACTACTACTACTAGAACTGCGACGACTCCTATTACCACTACCACTGCTACTACTACTACTACTACTTTGTGTAGCAAACATGTTTTTATCTTTTCAGGAGACATGGGACTACGGATGAAAAATAGCCGTTTGGCTAATTCTGGCATATTTACAGAAATGTTCATTAATATGCACTGTCCCAGTAATAAATAAATAAATAAATACATAAATAAAATAAATAAATACTACTACTACTACTACTAGAACTGCGACGACTTCTATTACTATTACCACTACCACTACCACCACTACTACTACTACTATGACAATGACTACTACTACCATGTAGTAGCCATGTTTCAGCCATGTTGGCTGAAACATGGCTTGACCAAAATACAGAAAATGCAGTTTTAATAGAAGCATCACCACCAAATTTCAAATTTGAATCTGAAATACGGGAAAACAAAAAAGGAGGAGGCTTAGCTGCCATTTTTAGAGACCACTTTGTCTCCCATAGAATGTCTCTTGGGAAGTTTCCGTTTTTTGAATATGTGTCTTTTAAAATACAACAAAAACAATCTCCTCCAATACTCTTCATAGACCTATACAAGCCACCGCAGTCATGTCACAGTTTTATTGATAATTTTACCGAGTTGCTTTCAGTTGTATGCACAGATTTTGATAGTTTAGTTATTACAGGTGATTTTAATATTCATGTGGATAATGTTGATGACAGAAATGCAAAAGAGCTGAGTTCTTTACTTGATACCTTTGGTCTCACTCAGCATGTGAGTGGCCCCACCCACAGCAGAGGGCACACTCTAGACCTGTTAGTTACAAAGGGGGTGAATATTTCAAATATAAGCGTGGTCGATGTTGCTCTTTCGGATCATTTCTGTGTATTTTTTGACATGTGTTTCACTAACAAACCACCAGTGGACTCTGCAACTGTTCGAAGAAGACACATAAATGAAAATACGAGTGATCTATTTATGGGAATGATAAACTTTGAGAATGCATCGTATTCTACTGTAGATGAACTGTTTAACTCTGTCACCTCTAGTGTTTTGAATGTTCTGGATACCATTGCCCCTGTGAAGGTTAAAATAGTGAAAAATAAGCAGAAGGCGCCGTGGGCTAAAGCAGACTCGGTCAGGGCACAAAAGAGAAAGTGCCGGAGGGCCGAGCGGAAGTGGCGCAAGTCCAACCTCCAGGTTGATTACAAGATCTTCAAAGATAAGTTGTGCGAGTTTAACCGGGTGCTACGTAGTACGAGAGAAAGGTATTTTTCTGAAATGATTGAAGGCTGCAGTAACAATCTGCGTGTTCTGTTTTCAACAGTTAATAGATTAACAAACCCCCCTGTTCAGATGCCATTAGAGCTAACTTCCAAACGTAAATGCAATGAGTTTGCACACTTTTTCAATGACAAGGTTCAAGGCATCAAAAACGCCATTGTCTCCAATCCACAGATAACCATCCAACAGCCAGAAAGGCTCTCTGAGCTAACTTACTTTGCACCTGTAGATGATAAAAATGTCCAAGAAATAATCTCCAGTTTGAGCTCCTCCACATGCAGCCTGGATGTACTACCCACTAGATTTCTGAAGTCTGTTCTGAGCAGTCTGTTACCTTCACTCACACAGATAGTAAACATGTCCCTTCATTCTGGAATATTCCCAAAGGCCCTGAAAACTGCAGTCATCAGGCCCCTGCTAAAAAAGAGCAGCCTGGATGCTACGGTACTTAACAACTATCGTCCCATCTCAAATCTGCCATTTATGGGGAAAGTCCTTGAGAAAGTTGTCTACCTACAGCTTACTAGATTTCTTATAATCAACAACTCATTTGATATGTTTCAGTCCGGCTTTAGACCCCACCACAGCACTGAGACTGCTCTTGTCAAGGTTACAAACAATATCCGGCTGAACACTGACGCAGGCAAAGTCTCAATCTTAATCTTGTTAGATCTGAGTGCTGCCTTTGACACCGTCGACCATGAGATCCTCTAGATTAGAGGACTGGGTTGGAGTCGCTGGCACCGCCCTAAGTTGGTTTAGGTCTTACCTTGAAGACAGGAAGTACTTTGTGGAGATTGGAAACTGTGTCTCAGATCATATGGCCCTGACCTGTGGAGTACCACAGGGGTCGATCCTGGGACCACTTCTGTTCAATCTCTACATGCTGCCGTTAGGTCAGTTAATACGCAGAAACAAAGTGTCCTATCACAACTATGCAGACGACACTCAGATCTATGTCTCACTGACTGCAGGAGAACATGGACCAGTGGACTCACTCCTTCACTGTATCCAACAGATCAGTGAGTGGATGCAAAACAACTTCCTTCAGCTAAACGCAGACAAAACTGAAATGATTGTCTTTGGTCCCCAGAAACAAAGAGAGAGCGTCATCTGTCACCTACAGTCTCTCTCCCTAAAACCTTCAAACAAGGTCAGAAATCTAGGGGTAATACTGGACTTAGACTTAAATTTTAATAGCCACATCAAATCAGTAACATCAGCAGCTTTTTACCATCTAAAAAACATTGCCAGGATCAAAAACATAGTGTCTAAAGCAGACTTGGAGATTCTTATCCATGCATTTGTCTCCAGTAGGTTAGACTACTGCAATGGCCTGCTCACAGGTCTGTCCAAACAGGCTGTAAAACAGCTGCAGTACATTCAAAATGCAGCAGCTCGAGTCCTGACTAGAACCAGGAAGTACGACCACATTAGTCCGGTCCTCAGGTCCCTGCACTGGCTTCCTGTGGCTCAGAGAATAGACTTTTAAAACAGCTCTGCTTGTGTACAAATCTCTCCATGGCCTCGCACCAAACTATATTAGTGACATGTTAGTCCCATATGAACCAGCCCGGACTCTGAGGAGCACAGGGACTGGACTCCTGTTAGTGCCCAGAGTCAGAACTAAACATGGGGAGGCTGCTTTTCAGATTCATGCTGCTAAAATCTGGAACAGTCTTCCTGAAGATGTGAGACAGGCCTCCTCTCTGACAATGTTTAAGACAAGGTTGAAAACAGTTCTGTTTAGCTGTGCATACAACTGAGGGATTTTATATTTTTATCTTTTTTTAATGTACTGTGATTAGTTATGATTTTAATGCTTTCTTGTTCTGTTCAGCACTTTGAATTGCCTTGTGTATGAATTGTGCTATATAAATAAACTTGCCTTGCCTTGCCTTGCCTTGCCTTGCCTTGCCTTGCCTTGCCTTGCCTTGCCTTGCCTTACCACTACTACTTCTACTACTACTACTACAGGACTCGGCCTTGTGATATTAAAGTCCCCTCACCCGCTAAAAATAATCACTGGGACTCCTTAGAGTGGGTTTAGGTACTAATCCTACTACTACTATTACTACTACTACTACAAAAATGCTTCATTTGTAAAATCACCAAACATGAAAACATCATGATGTCCATCAGTGAAGTACATTCCAAGTGAAACAACCTCAATCCCCGCTACAGTCATCCAGACGAGTGTGAACACGCACTTACTCACCCCAGAACATTCCATTTATTCACATATTGCATTACATTCTCTGCATAACTCTCAACTTTAGCGGCTGTTTTTCTAATGTAATTCAATGTAATAGTAATTGTAATCATATTTACAGACACTCAATTTGCAAGTGCCAGCGTTGGGGTTGAGAGTAAAAAGCTCTGGGGAAGACTTATTCTCTTTTTCATTAGGCAAATGGAAACAGACAGAACCCAGGGAGACGGCAAATCTGTTGGTTTGGAGAGAAAATAAAAGTGTGCAAGGCTATATTTTGAACGAAAGGACTGCACACTGCGGCTGGATTGCTCCCATTACTGCATGATCAGTCTGTCTTTCCTTGGTCTGTCACTCGCACAATGTCCCAGTCGCATAGAAGCAGTTAACTAAGCCACTGGAGCAATTAATGTAGTGTGTGTATAGGCTAACAGAGGAGGACTAGATACTCCCCAATTTCTTTTAGCTCCAATGAACAGCACAGGCAATAATGTGTGCAGCGTAGAAGCAGATTTAGTGACCACAGATGCACATATGACAGAACCATGGAACCACAGAAATGATATTGCTTTAAAATGTACACAGCTAAACGGGGATAGTCTATTAATGTGAGTTACTGTATGCTGTGCCCCGTCAAGTGCAAGGGTCAATGCTCGTACAATTATTATCCGGATTAATTGAAAAGAACCTAAGGCTGAAATCATAAAACGGTTGTAACGTGCAACTTGTGCCGCTAAATGATCTCTGAGACAGTGCTCTTTGCACCAGAGGATTCACATTAACGCCCATTGAGCTGCAAATATGAAGGAGTATGGAACAGCAGTGAATGGGGAAACTCTTCTTTTAGTTATGAGGTGTTTTAAAGTGAATTATTTTGTAATAAAAATCAGAACTTAATAGTGTTAATTGTCATCTTTATTTTCTTCAACAGTGCGAGAAGGATCTTCGAGTCAATGCGAAGTTCCCAGAGACCCACGCTACCCAGAGTGCCCTGGGAAAGTGGATGTAAGTCTTTGGTTGACCCTTTCACATTTCACATTCACCAATACAATACTTAGTTTATATAACACATTTAATAAACAAAAACAGTTTTCAAAGTGCTGCACAATAAAAGACTAATTAAAACAAAAACCCATAGTAAAACAGTAAAATCATATACATACACATAAAAAACATAACAGTCACAAAAACCTATATAATGAAATTAAATAAAAGCCAGAGCATAAAAATAGGTCTTAGGTGGGTGACAGTGATTAAAGCTGGGTACTTAACTTTACATTTTGTGAACAAGTCAGGCCACAGCCTCCCATCTTTAACTGATTTACTAACTTTGCAGCTTTTTGTGAGCAATATTTTGAAGCAATTATTTATGTTTTTTTGATATATGTCTCATTTATAACAAGGCACAATGTAGAATGAGATGGATATTGTGTTGTTAAAGCTATAGTACATACTGGTTTGCACATTATTTTTTGCCTTCCTTCACATCTTTAGATCATCTTTTTGATATAAGAGAACCAGCCCTCACTCAGCCAATCAGCTCTCAGTTTGTAAAAGATTAAACGTTTTCTAATAAGATGAAGACAACATGTTGTGGTCTGTTAAGACTTAGACTAACCTCTTTCTAGTTAGACAAACAATATGACATTTCCCGAAAGAAAATTTAGGTAGGCCTTCTCCAGCTTTAAATCAAGTAATCAAAAATATCGAGATCCCGTTAGACCTTTGATGGTGTGCAGGGCAGGGCCTGGTTAGTAATATGATGGGAGACCTCTGTGAACACCAGGTGCTACAGTGCGGTGGCTATAATGTACCAAACTGTCATTGTGTCCTTGCAAGACACTTCACCCACTCTATGAATCTGGTGTGTGTGTGAATGGTTGGTGATGGTTGGACGGGCACATACTGGTTGTCTCGCCTCTGTCCGTGTGCCCCAGAGCAGTTGTAGCTACAGTTTATCACCACAGTGTATGGAGTGAAAGAATAATGACATGTGAAGCATCTTTCTATGAGTTTGCTGGGAAGCATTATAAAAAACCGATGCATTATTATTGTTATCATTACATTTTGTGTTTGTGCCTGTCCACAGTGGATGCGTTCGCGCTGGACCTCGGACCCCTGCTATGCCTTCTATGGTGTGGATGGCTCTGACTGCTCCTTTCTCATCTACCTGAGTGAGGTGGAGTGGTTCTGCCCCCCGCTGACCTGGAGGAACCATAGCAGTGTTCCAACCGTTCCGTTCCCTCACCACCAGACTAAAGCTCCCAGGAGACAGGTTTGTATAGTTTCAATAATATTAGCCCTGTATGGGTTGGGATTCCTAAAAACACCGTACAGATATACAACAAATAATACAAAATGACTGTTGTGCGTTGCTCAACACCTTTTAACTTTTGTTTTTGTCCAAGAAAAAATCAACATAAATGTGTAATGACCTTCTGCTAGCTAACCTTTTTAGTTGAGGCCTCTAGGGTATATTATATTATGGATACATTGACCTTGAGGTGTTATTTATTTCCAGTCTCAGTTGTTTCTGCAGTTTTGTGTGCATTTTATCCACCTTCGCCACCCAACTTCTCTCCCCTGCTGTTCACCGAGGCTGCTTAGAAAGAAATATTTTCATTTGTTTGTAGCTGAAAAATGCACAGCTTAAAGGTGTTAGTTTCTCCCTCGCCATCATTTTTATCCCGAATGAAAAATAAATCCTGCCTTATGGAGGAAAAAAAGCAAATACATTTCCAGGGCACATTTTTTGTGAAACTATTCTCTAGTTGGTTTTCACAGACAGGCAGTGTGTTGCATCACCACCAAAGACAATGAGTTATTATTTAGACAAAGTATAACAGAAGTGAAACGTTTACATAAGCACAGTGTCAGCCAAAAGAAATCGGTCTAGAAGAAGAAGACGGCAATTTATTTTTATGGCACTTTTCTATTGGGACTGTAACTCAATGTGCTTTACAAAGGCAGTGTAAAAAAAACTACTCACAAACAGACAATGAAGAGAGCACTGCCTAAGGTTAAGAAAGTATAAATGAGTCCTTGGTTTACCCCCTTAACCTTATTGCTCCTATAATAATCACACTTGCACACCTTGCAATCACCCATATGTATTTAAGTATACACATATTTTCATTTAACAAAATTATTCATACTTTCATACATTCAATTTGAAAAACAAAATGTAAAAAGCCATAGTTTGTTCAGAAAGTCTCAGAATACAAAGTCACAAAAATCAATTATGTAAAATATGTGCGTAATTATAAGAAAATTAGAAGTGACCATTTTGTTTTTTTCTTGGTAAAATACTCACATTCTGACCTTGTGATTCAAAATATATGTTTTTTGTTCATTTCTGTTATAGCAGGTTGGTTCATTATAATGTAAATCAGTGGATATTTTTCCTTCTTTTCCAGGCGGCTTTTCGGACAGACCTGTCAGTATTATTGGACCAAGTGGGAACCGGGAAAGAATCCTTGAGTTTTATGAAACGCAGAATCCGACGTCTCGGTCAGCAGTGGGGCATCGCTGCCAACCGCCTGGACAATAAGCTGGAGCAGCGGTGGAGAGACCAAAAGAAGGTAACAAGAGCAGAGAGAATAAAGAGAGATAAACATGTGAAAGGGGACAAGAAGGACAAAAGATAAGCACACCTGAATGCAAACAAATAAAAGTGTTTTGGCACGGGTTACAACATTGAGAATACTGTGCATAAGGAATTCCAACGCTAAATATACAGTTTGAAAGGGGTTGGACTCAATTGCTTATTGGGCTCCCCTTCGTTCAAATACACACACACACACACACACACACACAAACGCACACACACACACACACACACACACAGACCATTCACCTTTCCTTCGCTCGCTTCATGCTGAGGGGATCACACTCTTTCTTTCATGTCCTTCTTCAGTACTTCTTTAAAATAGTTTTCAACTGAATCATATATTTGAAATAATATTCCTGCAATAATCTGTTCCAAGAGACACATAGATTTGATACTCACCGTTTTGGGCTTAAAAATCAGTGGTTTTACGGTCTACATTAATGTTCCCCAACCGTTTTGAGCCGTGGCACACTTTTGGCACACCGCCAGCTGAAAACTCTGCAGCCTTCATGAACAAAGCAAAGTCATTCTCAAAGGGTTAGATAGAAATCAAACAAACACAAAAAGTATTTCTAATCTTCTCACATTATTTTCTTTTAACTGTATATTGACTGACCTGCTATGGCACACTGGTTGAAAAATCTGATCCTGGAGTTTTTATTCCATTTTGATAAGGTCTTTGTAAATCTGGATTGGTAACCTTTTCTCCCGCAAGTGGGAATGGACCATCGCCACTCCTGATTGGCTCTTCTGTTGTAAGGCTGTTGCAACCTATGTCATATGGAACCACATTCCCTCTCAAATAGCCTGTTTGAGCTAACTCTAATCATACATTATGCAATAAGGCTTGGTTAGTTCTTCTGCGGTCTATGATGTCCCCCAAACAAATCATAATCATTCTCATATTTTTACACGTTTGACATGTAATTGTTGAATGTTTTCTGTGAAATAGAAGCATTCATTATTCATACCATCTGTGTCGCAAAGTGAAAAAGCAGACGTGAAAACCATAGGCTGGCAGTATCTTTGAAATGACAACTTGACATAAAATGAGACTTTTCGATGGTGAGGTGTTGAGCGTGTGCGTGATTGAGCTCTAATGATTGCTTGTCTGTAATAGCATGCTCGCCTTCAGTAATTGCAGGGACTTTTTCTGTCTTCCAATTCCTGCACATAGCCTAATAAATGTGAAATTAAACTTTGGTATCAAGCCGCACACACCCAAGGTATATGCAGACACGCAGCTCGCTCAAAGATATAGATTTTAAAATGAGGAAGGAGAAAATTGAGGCCAGGAAATTATGACTAATGATTGTGCTTGTGTGGGGAGAAGTCAAGCTGTGAGGCTGCCAGACATTGAATAACCTTACAGAGAAGCAGAAAAGGGGCGCAGCTAAAGTAGAAATGTGAAGAACCTATGCATGCCTCTTGTGGCTTCTGCATAGTGCTGTTTTAAATCTTTTATAAATTCCAGGGAATAGAATATATTCTTAAAACTTTGTGAAATGTAGAAGTACTCCATCATTTTTTACATTTTACCTTGAAATGAGTCAATATTTTGCTTGAATTATGAAAAGATTATGGCCACTATGAACGAAGACAAATTCATTGAAATAGAGAGGTATTGTTGTGATGATCTGAAGTGACAGTATGAATAGGTATTGATCAGATATTAAAAAGGTGTTTTATCTTACTTAACCTTATTGAAAATAATGGTAATTAATCCATTAAGCTTTTCCCATATGTCCTTCCTTATACTCATCTCATTCTAAACTAAGGTAACATGGTGAAAATAGGCCGTGTCACGGTGATGGATGTCCCTCTTTCTCAAGAGTGCATACAGGGATTTGTTTTCCTCTATCTCTCTTTGCTGCTGCCGCCTGGACAGAAGATATGCCTCTTAGAATGTGCCACCACTATCTCCGCAGCGGATGTCCAGCTGTCTGTATCTTAGTCGTGGCTGTCAAAAGCGCTTTGTCACAATAATTATAAATGGAATTCAAATGCATCTTTTCATGCTTGCAGGTGCAGATTCAGTAGCAACAACCACACTAGAGAAATATAAAGGGATTAAACTGTGTTTTTTGATGAAGAAGGACCACGCTTCATGATGGCTGGGTGAGACTAAAACAATAGCATGGAGAGACAACAACATGGGGGCTCAGATTATCAACCCACCAGGATATAGGACCTCCCTCAGTGATGGTGCTTGGCTGTGAGACAGATGAGAGACAGGGTTGGAAGGGGTCGAAAAGGCAGAGACAAACGTGTGACATGGAAACGCGAGAAATTATGCCTTCTGGGTAGCTGCGATGGTCAGGAGAGAAAGAGGAGGCTGAGGCGTGGCCCAGCTCCATAACATTGGTTGTCATATAAAATTCTCTCTCATATGAAGCAAAAGAAAACATACTAAACAGAACATTTGACATGACCTTGTTTATCGATTAATAATGCATCATAATATTTAATGTTGCTTCATTAATTCAGTAATTATCTGCACTCATTCCTCTTAGCTATTTATGACAGAGCTTGTGAAAAATCAAAAATCGATTATGAATCAATACTAAAACTTGTACTGAATCTAGACACTATTTTTAGCAAGTATGGATTATAGGGCTGCACAATATATGGAAAAAATATCGTTATCGCAATTTTGGTGCCTTCAATATCCATAAGAAAGATAAAAATATGGCAATAATATCGTTATCAAAATACTAAACACTCATATTGAATATCGCACTAATTTCCAATATCGTGCAGCCCTAGTATGGATACTCAATAGAAATTAATAAACAGCTCAAACTGTGAAATGTCTAAATAAGAAGCGCTTGTATAAACCTTGTGGCCCCTGTATTATTATTATAAGTTGAAAGTTTTAAATGCCCTAAGTACTCATACCTGCTTTATGAGATTGCACTTTTGTCTCAAAAAATAGAATGTGTTGGATTTCACAGATGTCTGTTGCGGGTATTGGAACGAGAATCATTTGCCGGGTGAGGTACTGGACAGAGGGCATAATATTGTAAGGCAAGGCAAGGCAAGTTTTTTTTGTAGGACAATTCATACACAAAGCAACTTAAAGTGCTGATTGAAAATGTGGAAGAAATTTGGGAGAAGGTTAATGTTGAGAAATGCAGTATGTTTGGGCAAATGTAGAGAAAACACTATCTTTGGTTTTGCACTTCTTAAACTATTTTGAATTTACACCAGATGATGATTGGAGCCTTTTACTATTTTTCACCGTGAATATAATCGTCCTTACTTGACTTCTTGCTTAACGAAAGAATGAAAGTTACAAAGTGCCAAGACTCCCTCCTCGCCTCATAAATCAAACCTGAATAACATTCCTCTTTGAATTGGCTTTTAGATTTCTGATAATAAGATAAGCGCTCTGATTAGCTAAAAACTAAACTTGCCTGAAGTATTCTATAGACCTCTTTTATTTGGAGTCTAATCTACATCTTTCCCATTTGTACCGTTCAAGCAGGCGGCAATTAATCTTTCGCTGCATTATACTTTCAAAGCAGTGTTTTCCCCTCTCCGCTCATATCAAACTTAATCAACAGCTCAGGTCAACCACTCAGCCTCACAGCCCAGATGATGAAACACCTTCTGTACTACAAATTGCTCCGCTAGTTTTTTTTTTCTCGACATCAAAAGCCTTTTAGAGACAATGGAAAAGACTAAAACAGCTGATGTGCATTGACTTTCTTTGTAATTTACCTTCTAGGCTTTGGAGCCAATTTCTCATAGCTCAATTTCCGCAGTGTTTTCAGTTTTATCGAGGGAGTTGTGGTATAAGAGCCCTATATGAGGATGAAGAAAGTTAATTTCAGAGTGGCCCTGAAATAAGCTGGAAATATGTGTGTGGTTCTGTCTTGCGCTTCTATGAAAAGGCCAAAGTGGTTGTCAGATTCCAAAGCCACAGGTCCTCACTGTCTCTTTGCTTCTATGTATACAAGTATTGATCTATTGCAGAGCAGGGACTGAACATGTCTCTCATTCCCATAAAACTCCTTCCCGAAAGGAGGAATTCACATCACCACCTTGATTTATACAGGCCCATTGTTTTAGCTATTCACTGCTAATGTTTATGGGAAGGGACCATAATAGCCGTTATCTGTTGCCTAAAGCAATGGTACAATTCCATGATGCACTATAGTAACAATGAGACTGGATCCGGTTGCGTTTCATATAGATTTAATAACATGCAGCAATCGCAGGCAGATACAAAAGAATATGCGTAGACAACAGCCTTAAGGAAATTCTGAAGGGAGGTAATACAACCAACCCAAACAAACCTCTCTCCTCTTCTGCGTCTCTGGTCTAAGTATCAATTTATGTTTGTTTTCGGACCTATAGCTACATTTACATAACTGATGTTTACATAACTGATAAATGTTACAACTGAAACATTTTGAGAGTTTTTTAAAGTAGTACTAGAATTTAATATGCTGCTATCCAGAATATATAACTACAATATGTGTTTATAATATTTCGGGTGTTCATTTTGACATGTTCAGATGAATATTTGTTTAAAAAACTGCTTTGAAGTGGCACCTTTTCACAAACGCTAGGGGGAGCCAAAATGGCGGCGATGACGTAGGAGAATGACCTCTCACAGCAGCAGCAGTCTGGGCTGATTCTGTAGGAGGTTTCACTGTCATCTGAACAAGGTGTAAACATATTTTCATCCGTTTTGTACATAATAGTGTGCAACTCTTTTAACCTTTTAGCCTTATTTGTGAGATTCAAGCTAATTAGTGTTGGGCAAGTTAGCTAACTCTACTTGATATCATAAAACATGCTAACAAGGCTAATATTCGTTTTTACATTATGCCAGTCTCACTTTGGTTACCTTAGATTTATTTACCACAATGTACATTGTAATATCCATAAATGCTAATCAAAATAACTTTAATTAAATAAATATTTTACTTTTATTAACAAAAAGCTGCAGAAGTTGAAAAC